AGAATAGTGCAACAATGAGTGGAAGCCCAAAATCTCTGTAAATGTTTATGAAAATTAATAAAATATAATTATAGAAAAGAAAAAAAAAAAAAGAAATTCCATGATTCAGCTAATCCACTGTTAGGAATATACCTCAAGTAAAATAGAATTGAAACAGAGGTTAGTATACCAATGTTCACAGCAGAATTATTAACAATCTTAAGAACATGAAAAGAGCTCAAATGTCCATCAACAAATAAATGAATTGAGAAATGGTGGTACATTCACACAATGGAATACTATGCAGCACTCAAGAGCAACAATTTTTTAAAAATTATATAATTTTGTAGAGATGAGGAGAACATTATGCTGAATGAACTAACTCAGTCTCATAAGGAAAAATACTGCATAAGACTATTATTGGAAAAACAGAAGAATGACTAGCAGGACATGTACAAGGGTCCAAAGGAAGAGGAGGAGAGAACAGGGTGCTTCTGGGAGTGGGGAAGGGGAAAAGCATGGGGCCACAGAATTTGGTGGGTGGAGGGAGGGAGTGAAGGAATCAGGAAAAATCCACTGATGACCTGGAAAGGGGTTATAGTGGGCATAGATCGATGACGATTAATTTTATAAAACAAAGCATGGGAATGATTGTATGAAATGCAATGTGAATGAAGGAATGTGTGAAACACAAGGTACATGAATGTACTTTTTAAAAAAAGAAAGGAATAAAACTTTCACCCTACAACAGATTTCCATTTGTTGAAGCCTCAAAATGAAGAGAAACTGCCACAAACATCAATTAATAATTGGAAGACAAAATGTACAAAGATGAATCTAGGAAAACTGGATGTTGTCAAAAAAATTAAACAGAATTCCCAAACATTGATATTCTATGAGGTACCTAGGGAGTGCTGGTGGCTTGGTGGTAAGGAACTGTATTGCCAATGCGAAGGTATACCATTCAAATCCACCAGGTGTCCCACGGAAGAAGGGTGGAGCGTCTCCTTTTGTGTAACTTAGTCCCTCTGAAAACTCACCGAAGGGTCAGCTATGGGTGAGTTCCAGCTCAATGTACACCACAAAAAGAAGAGGTATCTGACATTGGCCATTTTGAACCTGACAATCCCATGGTCGACTGTGTTGGCAATGACAAACTGAAAGAACATTTCAAAATCTATCCTGAAGTACAATGCTATCAGTGATGGGATTAACATTCATACCAACACAAGGAAGATCTGGCAATATGACCTTTATTCAAATATACACATCAACCATTATAGACAAACATGAAGAAAATGAGGATTTCTACTTCTGTAGTCTGAAACTGAACAAATGTAAATCAAAATGCTTTAAAAATAACTAGTGATTGGAACAAAAGACTGGAAACTAAGAAGGACTGGCAGTTGGAAAATGTGACCATGATGACAGTAATGAGGCCAGAGACTGCATGACAGAATTTTGTACAACCAACCATGCAGGAGATACAGCATGGTTTAAGATCAGGAAAGGTGTCCATCAGGGTGCCCCTTCATCATGCTTACTCTATATGCATGCTAGAAAATATTATGAGAACGTGGACTAGATGGAAAAGAATGTGGACCTGAACTGGAGAAAGACTCGTCAACAACCTATAATATGCAGATGACATAACCTTCCTTGATGAAAGTGAGGACTTGAAACACTTAGTGAAGAAGATTAAAGACTACATCCTTCAGTATGGCTCACACTCCAAAATCAAAGAAAACAAAAGTCCTGACAGCTGGACCAACAGACATCATGATAAACAGATAAAAGATGGAAGTTGTTAAAAGATTTCATTGTTACTTAAATCCACAACCAATATCCACAAAATCAGTAGTCAAGAAATGACATAGTGCACTGGGCACATCTGCTGTCAAGGATCTCTTTAAGGTACTAAAGTCCAAGGATATCACTTAAAAGACTAAGATGCACCTGATCTAGGCCATGTTCTTTTCCACTGATTCACGTATATGTGGAAGTTAGAAAAAAAAAAAAAAGGAAGACTGAGAAAGAATCAATGCTCCTTTGAATTGCAGTGTGGGCAAAGGGTACTGAATATACCATGCACTGCCAAAAGAACAAACAAAGCTGTCTTGGAAGAAGTGGTGCCCGACTGCTCCTTGGAAGCAATGATGGTGAGACTTCATCCTTTGGGCCTGTTGTCAGGAGGGCCCAGTACTTTGGAAAAGGCCTTATGCTTAGAGAGTCAGAGAGGGATAGGAAGATACCTCAACAAGATGGACTGGCACTGTGACTGCAGCAGGGGGCTTAACTACAGCGAGAGCCTGTGAGGATGGCACGGGACTGGGCAGGGTTTGGATCTCCTGTACATGGGTCTCTATGAATCGGAAACGACATCATTCTCTAGAGGAGCAGCTGGTAAATTTGAACTGAGTGCCTTTTGGATGCTAATGCAACTCCTTCCGACCAAGCCACCAGAGCTCCCCTATTGGCTCTACAGACCTACTTATTGTTTGGCGGCAAGTCGATCGGGGGTGGGTGTTGGTGGCGGTTCAGTTCCAGGGTTGAAGGGTCAATGGATCATAGTCTTAAGGGTTCATTAACCTCTATGATACCAGTAAGTCTAGTCTTTTCCCTTGTAAAATTTTTAATTATGGATTTTATGCTTGTAATGTTTTCAACTTCATCAGATACATTTGGAAATTTATTCTAAACTGACTGTGATGGGGGGAAAAAAAACAACCCATGCCTCCCACCCACCACTGTGAAGGATTCTGGCAGATATTCTGGAAGTCTCTCAAGTACAAATGGTGCTGTACATTCCAACAGCACTTATAGAAAATGTGACTATTAACATACAAATGTGTTCCTTGCCAGTGTTCAACAACCCAGTAAGTACAATGCTAAAAAACTGAAAACCACCAAATAGATTGTCTTTTCGAAAAGGAACAAAATAGTTGGTGACATGATTTGTCACTATTTGTGGGAAAGCAGTCAATAAGGTTTTGTTATCCAAATAGGTATAGATCTATCACAAAATCCAGGGTGATCATGAAAATAAAGTTTCAAGTCAAAGAGAGAAGTGTTCTGATCTCTCCAACTGGAAAATCAAATATGACAAAATTATCTCCCATAGATGAACTCAGAACAATGCCATTCACAACAGTACAGAATCACAAGTGTCTTAATACCAGCCTACCAGCCTGTGGGAACACCAATAAGAAAAACTGGCAAAAAGGAAAGAAAAGTCCTCCTTGGGCCTGCACTTTATTTGCCAGAAGGGAGCTCCAGGGAGGGTGGATAGGTACTGAATTCCTCCTGAGAAGGGCCTTACACTGGCTCATGTCTTGCCTTTCTGTCTGGAACTGGGAGGCAGAAGAGATTAAGTGCCTGCCATCTAAGGTTTCCAGAATATTTTTTCAGCTGGCTAAGTCCCCAGCAACTCAGAGCCAAAGGCTCAAAACTCAATCAGGGTGAATTTCTCAAATACCCTCTTTCACACTCTTCCTTTCAACATAGATGAAATTCTCTGCCCAGATATCAGTCCTGGCAGTCCTTAGGCATAAACTCGTGGCAGGGTGGTTAAGTACTCAACTATTAACTTCAAGGTAGTGGCTCAAACTCACCACCCACCCCTCAGTAGAAAGATGTGGCAGTCAGTCTGCTTCCAGAAAGATCTACCTGCGGCCTTGGAAAAACGATGGGAAAGTTCTACTCTGCCCTGTAGGGTCACTATGATTTGAAATTGACAGAAAAGAGTTGGGGTTTTTAAAGTAGATATAAACAAAGAATGAAAATACCCTTCATAGCTGCTAACCAAAAGGTCAGTTGTTCAAGTCCTCAAGCGGCTCCATGGGATAAAAATGCCGTCTGTAAAGGCTGCAGCTGTGGAAACTGTATGGGCACTTCTACTCTGTCCTATAGGTTATTATGAGTCAAAAGAGACTTGAGGCAACAGGCTTTGGTTTTTGGTATAAACTAAGAGGCACTAGTACTGGCCATTGTGGAGGCAGAGCCGGCCAACTAGACACTAAACTAATAACCAGCAGCGGTTCTGTAACCACCTACATGCATATGGAATATGTCACCACCCACGGGCTGGAGTTCTGCTGGCAGGCTTTGCTGCTTGCAACCAACTCGACATCTCAATATTAAGCAAAAGCTCCGTTAACTGATTCCAATTAAAGCAATCTGTGGCAATTATCCTGCAAGTTTGATGATCACCATACTGGACTGAGCATCCTTCCCTAGGAACAGATGGAAGTCATGCTGTGTGCCGGAGAAGGGAGCTCTCTGCAAACACTTACTTGAAGGGGATGTGGGTGGTTTCTTGGAGGGCTGCTGCACTTCTGCTCTGATACTGGTGGTCTGCTCTGAAGACGTCTCCAAATGTTCTTCCAGGCCGAGCGAGTACTGGAACCGCACCGTTCCGGACTCCACCTTCTTCACCTGCAATGCACCAGAGTGAGGCCAAGTGACATCCAGTAAAGGGAGCCTGCAAACTCCTTAATCAGTGTTATATCAAAATCATTCCACCAGGAACAATCTTTCAGCCCTGAAACAAAGTCTAGGGGAAATCTTATGTCCATAAAAGTCTTATGTCCATAAAATTTCAGAAAGCCATATTATTATGACCCTTCCCAAAGAATGAAAATATGGCATGTCTCCAGTTTGAAAGTTTTTTATTAGTTAACCGGCGTAAAACTGACTATAAGTTAATGCATGCATCAATTCATGTAGTATTATAAGTATATAGAACAGCTTCATCACCCCAAAACATTCCCATAGGCTATTCCCTTTATATTCTTCCCCAACACTAACCCTAGCAATAACTATCTGTTCTCTGTCATATTCTTGTTTTTTGGAAAATGCCGTATAAATGGACTCATGTCATTTAGAAGGGGTTTGAGGCTGGCTTGTTTCACTCAGCTCAATGTGAATGCGATGTGTCCAAGTCGCTGCACACATCAAACAGTTCATTCCTGTGCTGTGGTGGGCTTACAGTTCAAAAAGGCTTCCTCAAGCCTTTGACTTTCAATACATGGCGGGGCAGGAACATGCAAATAGTGTATAGTCTATCCAAAAGGGGACGGATCGGTTTTGCCATTTCACCAGGTTTAAATTGAGCAGGTTCAGCCTCACAACTTGGGAATCTCAGTACCAGCAAGGAAGAAGAAGCCGAGATCAGTCAGAGCAGGGCATACATGAGAACACCAGCAGTCACAGTGGAGAACCAGACTGACATGAGACAGAATGAACTTGAGACTGTTGCTCCAGAGAGCCAGAGCCAGAGGCCTCCACCCTGAGCTTTCAGGAGCACTCGGGGCGGAGGGTGAGGTAGGGATGGAATGTCAATAATCGGCAGACTTGTGAGCATGCTTGAGAAGCTGTCCTGACAGGAACTGCATCCTGGTGCCAATCTAAATTGTAACCTGTTAACTTTCCTAATAAACTCCATAATCATGAGCATGGTTCTGTGAGATCTGTGTAACTATTGCAACAGATTCTGGACACAAGAGTAGAGTGGCAAGAGCCCTGGGCTAGTGTTAAGCTCAGCAGAACAAGCAGAGGAGTGTGAGGCATATCTGACCTTGTGGAACTGATTTTGTGATGTGGATGTTGTCAATAAGGATTGTTTCCCCTTGTGGAGTTAGTGGAGGTCAGACTTGGCCATTCCCATGCTGCCTACGCTCTCTTTACTATTCCTTTTTATGGTTGGGTAGAATTCTATTCTATCGATTACCAGAGTTTGTCCATTCATCCATTTGAGAATTTCTGGGTTGTTTGCAACTCAAGTGATTATAAGCAAACATATTCTTTTTTAAACATTGCATTCAGTCAATTCCAATCCAGGATAACCCTCACGTATTACAGGGTAGAACTGTGCTCCATAGCACTTTGTGGCTATAATCTTTATGGAAGAAGACTGCCAGGTCTTTCTTCTGCAGTACTGCTGGATAGGTTGTCACCACCAACCTTTAGGTTAGATAGTGCTCAAATACAAATGACACAACCCAGGAGCTGGAGGTTTTACCTGCAGCTGCTATATTACAGGAATGTGCACACTTTGTGTGAATCTAAGATTTCATTTCTCTTCAGAGTACATATTGTATCTTACACAAATAAAACATGTACTATACATTTTTATCTCTGTCAGTCATTACTTTCCTAAATAGATCATGTTATATGGGTGGATGCATCAGTTACAAAAATACAGCACCCAGGAGTAGGACTGCTGGCAAATATGATAAGTACGTATTTAATTTTATTAGAATTGAAGAACTATTTTTTCCAGAACAATTCACTATCACTTTTTAATTGCGTTGTTTGTTCTTAGGTGCTGATAACTCAACTACGACTCACAGTGACCCTATGAACCTTGCCCTATCCTGTGCCAGGAATATATAAGTGGTCTAGTTTTTCGCTACACCCTTGCCAACACATGGTTATTAACATTATTTTTTTTATTTGCCATTCAAATGCGGCGGTATTTCATTATTTTCATTTGTTCTTCCCTAAAGGCAAATGATAGCTTTGTGTGTGCTTATCTCTTGCAATAACTATGTGCTATCCTCTTTTGGTGAAGTGTCAGATGTGAGATTTGTACATAATTTCTCCAGTCTTCTCAAGCTCCTAGTTTGCTTGTCTCCACAGTCAACACTCTCGGCACCAGTAGCCAGGAAATTAAAAGGCACATTGCCATGGGAAAGTCTGCTGTTAGGGACCTCTCCAAAGTACTGAAGAGCAATGGTGTCTCTCTGGAGACTAAGGTGTTTCTGATACAGGCCATGGTCTTTGCAATCACTTGTTATGCATCAGAGAGTTGGACAATGACCAAGGAGGATAGAAGGAGAGTTGATGCCTTTGAGCTGTGGTGCTGGAGAAGAGTATTGAGAATACCATGGACTGCCAGGAAAACAAACAGATTTGTCCTGCAAAGGGTTAAACCAGGTGGTTCCTTGGAGGCAAAGATTCTGAGGCTCCATCTAACATACTTTGGACATGTTTTAAGGAGAGACCAGTCCTTGGAGAGGGACATCATGTTTGGGAGGGTGGAGGGACAGCTCAGGAGGGGAAGGCCCTCTATGAGATGGATTGATTCAGTGACTGGGGTTATCAGGACAGTGCAATTGGCACAGGACAGAGCAGAGTTTAGGGCTGTTGTACATAGGTTCTCTATGAGTTGCGAGTGACTCGACAGCACATAATAACAACAACTGTATCTCTCTCAAAGGGGGGGAAAAGCATCCATTTGATGAAGTCCAATTTATCAGTATTTGCTCTTACAAATCATGTTTTTGGTATCATAGCTAAAAAAAAATTTTTTTTTGCTTCGCCCAAGTTAGGCTTAAAGGTTTTCCCCTATTTCCTTCTTAGGGTTAAAAGTTTTGTTTCATATTTAGATATATATTCATGTTGAGTCAATCTTTCAATAGAGTATAATGTTTAGGTCATAGTTCATTTTGGGGGAAGATAGATGGGAGTGCCAAATTGTTTCAGCACAATCTATTGAAAATTTTTCCTTTCTCTATTGAATTGCCTTTGCAACGTTTCAAATATCAGCTGCCATGTTTGTATCATTTATTTATAAATTCTCTATTCTTTTCATCTATGCACCAATTCCTTCAACAAGATCACTCTGTACTGGTTACAATAGCTTTCAAGTTTTAAAATTGGATACTGTGATTCTTCCAATTTTAATATTCTTTTAAAAATTGCTTTTAGCTCTTCTGGTTCCTATACCTTTATATATAAATTTTAGAATAACTTTTGTCTATATTCAATAAAAATATATGTATAAATTCTGTTGGAATTTAGATTGGAATTGCATTAAATTATACATAGATCGATCTGGAGAGAACAGACACTTTGACTATGCTTCCAGTCCCTAAGATACATGTCTCTCCATTATTCAGGCTGAGTTTCATTCCACGTAAAATTAAGTACAAAAAGAATAAAAACATTCGGAAAAGGGACTGTATATAGTTGTCAGCACACAGATCCTGTACAGACTTCATTAGATTTCATCAAGGTGGAGAGTTTGTAAATGGTATTTTTATCTTGTTTTCCAACTGGTCACTGCTAGTATTTAGAAATTTGATTGATTATCCTTTCTCAATCTCATATCCTATAGTCTCATTAAACTCACATATTCATTTCAGAGGTATTTTTTTGGTAGATTCCTGGGGATTACATACATAGACAACTATATTGTCTGTGAACAGGGAAATAATATTTCTTCCGTTCCAATCTGTATGTCTTTTATTTTCTTTTCTTCACTATTACCCTGACTATAACAAATGTTGAACAGGATGCTGAATGATGAGAGCAGAGATTCTTAGCTGAGGAGAAAATCACCAATCATTCACCATTAAGGTTGATGCTCACTAAAGAGTTTTTGACACTATCCTTTTATTTCTAGTTTGTTATATATTTTGTCATCTTTTATTATTGCTGCTGTTGTTGTTGTTGTTAGGTGTCATAGAATCGAGTATAATACACAGAGACCCTATGAACAAAAGCTCTGAACCCTGTCCTGTCCTGTGCCATCCCTACAATCTCTGACACACTCAAGCACAGTGCCGTAGTCACTGCATGCATCCACCTGGTTGAGGGTCTTCCTCTCCGTCACCCCTCCACCTTTCCAAGCATGATGTCCTTCTCCATGGGACAGCCTCTCCTAATAGCATGCCCAATAGCATGAGACGAAGCTTCACCATCCTTGCTTCCAAGGGGCACTCTGTCTGGACCTTCTCTAAGACATATCTGTTCATTCTTTTGGCAATCTGTAGGATATACAACACTCTTCTCCAACACCATGACTCAAAGGTATCCATTCTGTCATCCTTATTCATTGTGAGCTCTCAGATGCATAGCAAGTGATTGAAAAGACCATGGCCTGAATCAGGTGCATCTTAGTCCTTAAACTGACATCATTGTTTCTCAATTATTTGGAGAGGTCAATGTCTCCTGACCTCCAGACTGCTGATATGAAGTGTACTGATTGCAGATCCAAGTAAGACGAAGTCATTGTCCTTCATCTATCTTGATGTTGCCTATTGGTCCAGTAGTGACAATTTCTATTTTCTTGATGTTGAGATGTAATCCATATTAAAACCTAGAGTCTTTGATCTTCTGCAACAAGCACTTCAAGTCTTTTTCACTTTCAACAAGTAAGGTATCACCTGCATAACGTAGGTTACTGATGAGTCTTCCTCCAGTTCTGATGCCACATTCTTCACAGAGTCCAGTTTCTCAAACAATCTGCTCAGCATACAGACTGAATAGGTATGGAGAAAGGATACAATCCTAATGCATTCCCTTTTTAATTTTAAACCATGTAGAGTTTGTTCCCTTGCTCTGTCTGCACAACAGTCTGTTGGTCTAGGAATAGGTTTTGCATGAGCACAATTAAGTGTTCTAGGATTCCCATTCTTTTCAGTGTTAGC